CTTTGTAAGTGTAAATTATTTGATATCTTGATTAACTTACATTGATTCTGGTTTTAGATTACGATAATGTTTCTTTCGAATAGTAGCATGATGAGTATCAGCACATCCAGCAGCGATGAAGATTTAAGACCAGAATGAATCCGTTTGATTTCTACAATGAAGAGGAATTTAAGAATCGGTACCAACCAACGGACAAAGGCGTTTGTGCTGTTAGGTACTAGTTAACATGTTAGAGCCGAATATTAAACAGTTCACTTTGAGGAACGATTTTATCAGTGCTTTGTATAGGTGTTACTGACAATAAGCTATTACCGTGCCACATGAGCGTTTCAAATTACGGTTGCTGAGAGTGCACAAATCTACGGCTTGTAGAATAATAACAAAAGAATCTGCAGCGATTACTATGCCCTGTAAACATGAAGATTGTACAAGGATAAAATCCTACAAAATTAGCTCTTTGCCATGTGTGATCGGTGCATTTGACTGCACACATGTAAAGATACAGTCTACTAGTGAGCCACAAGCTGAGCTGTACAGGAACAAGAAAGGATATTTCTCAAGTATATCTTAGGATAGTTCAAGAAGATATTGGTGCTCTGACAGAGATAAATAAAAAAACACTTCTGTGCGCACATCTTTATTGTTGACTCATTTTAATTGTTAAGTAATATTAATGGTATGTATTGTTAGGTGAATACGAAGAAATAACCATATTATTAACATGTTTAATTAATCTTTATAAAATATAACACTTGAAATATAAAAACAAGTACATATTTAGTTAGTATAGTAACTTATATTTAAATTAAATGCTAATAATGTATATTTCTTAACCAAATGATTTATTTTATTTCCAAATATATGCTGTTTTATAGTTAACCGATATTCTAACTTTTTTTTTTATTTACATACTCTTTATTTCATTATACTTCTTATTATTCTGTTTCTGAGTGTCTGCCTCTCATGTTTAAATTGTTTCCTTGATGTGCAAGTTAAATTACCTGTAAATAAATTTCATTAAAGTTGCAATAATTATTCTTAATACATGATTAGCTACTTACTTAAGAAATCAGGACAGGTATTTAATATATCCTAATCTGGTAATAGTTACAATATTCTGACTAGCTAGTGTGGGCACTATAAAAGTATTTTAAGATCAAAAACTTACATTTTTATTGGCTACATTCTGTCTCGTAGTTCTTTTTAATTCCAATAGGCTATGATTAGCTGTTTTTGGCTTCGAGGCACTTCTGCATTCCTGTAGAATTCATTCGTTGTGGTTTCCCGAGCTTCATTTTTATGAATAGTAGAAATAGCATTTGTGCACTGATTATCAATTATATGCTTGTATCTGTAATAAAACATGGTGCGTATTATACATCAGTCTTGGCTGCAGCGCAGGATGTGAAGTATTAACAAAGATATTTAATACTTTTAAACACGAATAGGTTTATAAAACGCAATAGGTAAAAAATATGTGTTTATACTTATACTTACTTCTGAACTAGTTCTAAAAGAACATGCCTTTCCCTTTCGATGAAATTCTTCCCTCGTTATGCCATTTTAAGCAAGTTTAGTTAGCATTTTATTGAATTTGTAACTAGATATTTGAATTTCGCAGAATTGTTTGACATCAATGACAGTCCGTAATTTTTTTAATATTAACTTATTTGACAGATAAGAATGAACTATTGAACAAAAAAGAGCAGTGTGGCTATAATTAAAAATAAATCGCATGTCAAATCAAAATAATCATCGATTAGTTAATCATGGTCTGATCAACGTTTCAGAAACTCAAATTGATTTGACAGTCATGTCAAATTAATCACAGTGTTAGTTGATCAATGAATTGACAAGCCTTTCAGAAACTGGGTGTATGAGTAGTAACTACATGTCGATATGTTCTAATGCGAAAACTACGTCTATATTTAGAAGAGAGTATCATGCAAATCATAGTTTGCGAGCTGAAAATTTGCAGGTCAATGACCAGTAGTTGTTCATCATTTAAATAGGTAAACTTACGTAATTATGCTTAGTAACCAGTAGTTAAATTTAACTCTGGCAGTTCCAGTTAAATACTCTTTGAAATGAGGTAAAGTACCGTTACTGTAAACTTTAACCGTCGCTTCCTCTTCACAGTTAAAACGCGGTTAAATACTGAGAAATCGACTTGAAATAGTTACATGGCATTACGCCTGCTTGTGCAAAACCTTGCCGGTGTAGATATTACGAAGGTAGGCTTTCTTTTTTTATAATGTCGTGGTGGTTAAGACGCCTGCTACTTTTGCATGAGGGTGTGAGTTAGACACCTGGCAAACAACAATATGATTTCTCCAAATTTAAGACACTTTCTAACATTATTTAGATAACACTGGCATGTGATGCGGAAATTAAAAAAAAATCTGGACTTATAAAATCGAATTAAAATTTTGAAATGGCAAACCCGCCTTGATAAGGCCTGGTAGATAATGCTTAAACATTCTCCTTGTTAGAAGAGGTCTTTGCTCAGCAGTTAGCAAGTTGCAGTCTAGTCTGATGATGATGATGATGATGATGGTGATGACTCTTTTCTATTCATTCATGTTGTTCGTGTTCTGTAACGTTTAGTTCATTGTCACATAAATCCCCTGTCATAACTAAAAAGCTAGTTGTTACTAAGAAATATTACCTAAACTTTACATAATTATATATTTTTTTATAAATAAGATTTCGATCAGCTTGCTCATGTCCCGACAATTAGAACATAGAAGAGACACACTTTCGAATAAATAGTTTTAGTAAATAAGAACAGTATTTTATATAACGTTACAGCATTAATCAAGAGTTCTTAGCGAAACTTATAAAACTTTTACAATTTCACACTATTATATCGGAGCAGAAATATTGCACGCCATTAGTCAGCCGTGCCATCGGAATCTGCTGTGAAATTATATAGGAGTGTACGCCCATATGTCCGACGTCAACGTTATTTTGCGACCCCATTTGCTAAACGGTTCGGAAAATGACCGCCCACGATAATTGTTATGCCCTTTTTATTGTATGCGACGTTAATAGACTTGTTTTTTGTATAATAATGAAAAGTGAAACATATTACTTATGATATAAATTCTTTTTTCCACGAAATTTTTAATAGAAGCCAAATTTTAACATATTATATTTGCCAATACTTATAGGATGATAGTCTCATGTTATCGCAGCGGTAAGACCCCTCTTTTAGGAGTGGCTAGAAAGACGCCACTGCGTTCTCACCTTCCGAATAACACAGATGCTCACCTGATTGGGATGACTGATTTGGGAGACACCTTGATGTTTAACAACCCAGCTCCAAACATGAAAAGGAACGGGGTAGCTTTTACGAAGGGAGATGTCATGAATGATGAAAATGGTCAGAAAATCAAATAAGTGATAGTTTCATATTAAGTAGGCTAGTTACCGTTTACAATAAATAAATTATAAAACGCGACTCTAGAGTCCTATTTACAACAAAAAAAACTTAACCAAAATATACTATACCACAATGACATAGCCATTGAATAAGTCACAACGTCTATGACCCTGCCAACATTATTTGCCTGCTTCGATTATCCAACCAAACTATTAGTAAGTACTTCGATATAAACTTTTTAATATTTTCAACTAAGTGCCTAAACATAATTTAATAACAATGGGTATAAAATTAGATATCAGGTAAAAAAAAACTACGAAGTGAAAAGAAAAATGGTTTACTACACTCGTTCAGTTCCCATAGTAAACGTTAACTGATTTTAAATAGCTTGTTTTGTTACAAAACATTTGTTGTACGTCTTTAAAGAGCATACACAAACTCTCAGTTATAATCGTTCGTAACAGGAAACTGGAATATGTTATCGTATCAAACGTATTGGTTATGAAATACAGTTCGATCTAGTCTCAAAATAGAATTCTTTGAATGCCTGCTGGTGATTGATGACACGAAGTGGTGTCAATGTCATCGGTGTGGTGGTTTTATGAATAAAATATAGTTTGCTATTGTATAATGGTTTTTTTAGTTTATTCTTTAGATACTGGATACAGCTGTTGGAAATTGTATTGGTTTTTGTAGCAACTGTTGTTTACTGATTAGATGATATCTAACGTCACAGTTAAGTTATGATATTAAAGCCATAATGTTTTAATTAGTTCACTACAAGGATTCATTTTTGTATTCGAAGATCATCGACTAAAGGTTGGCTCCCGATCTGTATCGTAATATACCCGCTCCTCCTCCCTCATTAATATTTCTAGTATATTTTAAAATCATTTCATTCGGGTTCGTACTTCACCTACATCATGTTGACAACTTTCTATGAATTTCTACAACAAAAATAAACAGTGGATGTGACCGTGCCCGTTTGCAATCACCGCGAAGGTCCACGTTTAGATTGGAAAATTAAAAATAACCATTTGTTTGACGAGGTTAACAACTGACTGTCGCTTCTCGTCACAACCACTAAATGACAGTTGGCTTATTATCTCTCCGAGTATTTTTTGCGACGGACAAGACTAATATTATTAATACAAGATTTCTTAATTTTAATTTGATTTCTTGACACAATAGACAGTTTGACTTTCTTAATGTTATCATACTGATGAATATTGTATTCTTCAATTCTGTAAAATCGAAATGAAAGCCGCTAAACATCAGCTAAAACTAAGCTGCCGTTTAGTTGTTTTCAGCGTAAAACTGTGTCATATATTTTGGCTTAAAGAATAAATTCATCTTTCTTTTGTTTATAAATAACCTGTAACCGGAACAAATATACGGCACACCGTCTGAAGCGAAGGTGCGAATCGATGCGCGGGCGCCTTAAGCTCCGCCACAAAGCTTCGTAGCGCTAGTCGGCCTGCACGCTCGACACAGAGCACACGCGCTCACACGCGCACGCGAGTCTCCCGCCCGATACGATCGCGATATCAAACCAAAATAAACTTTCCGCTTCTGAGGACTTTATAAACAAATATGCCCGAATAAATAAATCAAGATGTCGTTCTGTAGAATAACTGGTCGCAGTCGAGGGCTACCGAAGCCCAACTATTTTCCCCTACTCGCCCCTATTTCGCCAGCTGACGCCAAACGATGCTGCAGGATCACCGGAAAATCTTACGGGCTGCCTTCACACCACTACATTCCAGTACTTTTAACCGCCCGCTCATCGAAGGCAAAATGTAAAATAACAAACGTATCCGGCGAACTGGGACCACATCATTACTCACCTGAGATAAACTATGGCAACAGAAAACACGAGATTCTTCCAGACTACAGATATATTTTCCCTGTGCTCGATGGTTCTACAGAAGCACAAAAAAGCTTAATGGAAATGTTACTCGGCAAACAAGTCACAGAAGACAAGCGTTATGTATATACAGTGCAAGAGAGAAGATGCAGTTTGGTGTTTTCCGCTCAAATGGAAGCGGCAGTGCGAGATGGTGACGTCAGAGACGTAATGCTGGCTAAGGATTCTGATACTGTGCTGATAAAAACAAAGCATGGACGCAGTGTATCTATGGACTTCAAGGACTTTACTGAAGACGTTGAAATGTTTGAAGGAGAGGGACCGAATGCTGAGGTGTTAAAACAAAGAGAAATTGAAGAATTAGAAGAAAAGAAGAAGAAAAGGAAACGAGCTGCTGGATTGTCATCTATGAAAAAAATATTTGAAAACAAAGAAAAATTAGCAGAAGTAGAAGAACTTGAGGAAGAAAAGTTACGTGTCGAAAGAAAAGCGAAAAAGGCTAAATTTGAAGAAATTAAACACGATGTTAAAGCATTTAGCTATAATAGCTTTGATGCGCACCACATGCGGTCAAAGTCAAGTATTATAGCATGCGCTAGTGAGTGGAGAGACCAAATGCACCCAATTATTGAGACGTGGGATTGGCAAACATTTGAGAAAGATATAACTAATGAGCGCATCGTACCCAAAGCAACAAAATTACCAACGCCTGTAAAAATAACTCCACACCACTGTGATGCGGAAATTTATGAAGTTGACCGAAATGTCGGTGAAGTGTCTATACCATTAGGAATAGTGCCTTGTGTCAATCCTTTAAAACCAATAAAAACTCGTCCATCGGAAACAGTTTTGAGTGCCGTTAAGGAAATACCAAAAGAACGTTTGGCCGACACAGCAGATATTATAGAAAAATTGGTGGAAAGTGATAAAGTTGATCTTCTTCCAACGATGGAAAATCTTTCTGAAGTTGTGAAAAATATTAAAAAAGGAAAGAGAGAAAAAGTTGCTAAAATATCTGGTCTTACATTAGATATAAATAAAGCGAAGACGTTTGTTCCTGGTCAGGTGGTTAATACACCACAAGGCCCTGTTTTTGTGCCTGGTCAAACAGTTGAAACCCCAATCGGCCCCGTTTTTGTCCCTGGTTTAAGTGTAAATACTCCAGCAGGCCCGGGATTAATTCCTGGTCATATTGTCACAAATGAAAATACAAATGAACCATTCTTCCTTGCGGGTCAAGTACTACAAACATCAGGTGGTGAAGAATTTGTTTGTGGACAAACAATAAAAAACAAAGACAATACTTATCGCTTTGCTGAAGGTCAAACGGTACTTTCCGAGGACGGATTCAAATTTGTACCCGGAAAAATAATTAACACTGGTCCCGAGGATGTGTTTGTACCTGGACAAACTTTGATGACACCCGAAGGAGTACAATTTATTCCTGGACAAACAATAATAGAACAAGATGGCATTACATTTACTCCTGGACAAAATGCCAAGATTAATAATGAATGGCAGTTTGTACCCGGACAAGTGTTGCATCAAGATGACGAGTTACATTTCGTGCCAGGAGCTACGATAGCTACTCCCAATGGCCTTAAATTTGTTCCAGGCCAGACAGTTTCTATTGATGGCGAAACTTGTTTTATACCTGGCGTTACGAAAACACGAAGCAACAACGAACTGGAGTTCGTTCCAGGCACTACTGTTGAGACTATCGATGGGCCGAAATTTATTGAAGGGCAATTAGTACACACTGACTGTGGTGAAAAATTTATGCCAGGAAAAACAATTGTCCAGGCAGATGGACATGTTGAATTTTCCGTTGCGAAGTCTATTGAAGATATTGCGTTCAGTGAAGGTGCTCCCGTAGGTCTGCCTATTGATATAAAAACATGTTCTCTCTCTGAAGAATCATTGTACGTGTTTGGTCATATGGTACAAACGGCAAAAGGAATTGAATTTTATCCCGGACCAAGAATGCCCAAACTAGAAGGCAAAGTCGTCCCAGGTCGACTTGTAAAGAATGAAGCAAACGAATCTCGTTTTGTTCCAGGAATGATGGTTGAAGGCATATTCGTTCCTGGCCAAATAGTATTTACGGAAAATGGAGAACAATTTGTTCCCGGTCAAGTGGTAGATACAGCTGATGGACCCAAATTTGTACCTGGACAAGTTGTCAACACCAAATCTGGGCCTAAATTTGTTCCTGGTCAAACTATACACACAATCGACGGCCCACGGTTCGTGCCTGGTCAAATTATTGAAACTAAAGCTGGCCCAACATTCATTCCTGGTCAAGTGATTTCCACAGAAGATGAAGGTTCAAGGTTTGTGCCTGGTCAGGTTGTTGACACCGAGGAAGGTCCAAGATTCGTCCCTGGTAGAGTTATAGAAACTGATGATAATGGCGTAACATTTATTCCTGGACAAATTGTTCAGACTCCAGAAGGATTGAAGTTCGTTGCCCCTGATCTTACTGAGGGTGATGAAGGACTTGAGTTTTCAGTTCAAAGTTTTGTTGTTACCCCGGAAGAATTAAAATTACTAAAAGTCAAAACAAACCCGAACGATACTACTTCAACAAAAGGAGAATTAACTATAGATACAAACATGCTACGACAACTATCCGAAGCTGGAATGTCAATTGGTAGACAAGTACCCGCTGAGTTGCCTGCTATCAACGTTGTACTAAATCACACAAGAAATGCCGAAGCATTGAAGGCTTTCGTTACAGATTTTGGTTTGAAAGATGAAGTAGCAAATCAATTGATGGATGTAATTACCTCGATAATTGAAATGAGTGCTCATTTAAAATCTGAAATTCACAAAGAAAATGGATTACCAAATGATATAAAAAAGAAAAATGGCAAGAAACGAATGGACTTGCAAGACCATGTTGGGTTCTCCGGCGGTAATGGACAATCTGCGCATCAAGAACATGTTAAAAACTCTATCGCTGCTGCTGTACTGGCTGCTTTGGTTACTGCCGAACAATTTGAAGAAGTTAATAACAACAATAGTAAAGAAAAATACCAGATGATCCTTAAATCTATTGACACTATTTTAGGAAAAACTATTGACGAGGACCTCGTTTCTGCTATGTTTAACATTCTTCAAACAGAAGAAAATAAAGAATCGCTACGTGAAGAAATCCTTGAGAACTCCTCCCAGCCTAAGGTCGAGTTGATTAAAATTGCTGTCAACAACACATTGCACAAACATTCCTTTACTGAAGATGATATAATTGAGAAATTCGGAGAATATCTGAGCAGTGAAAATGAAGTACTAGGGCCAGCGTTTAAAAATATTTCTAAAATCGACTCTAGTCTGCTTCATCACGTTCTTGGTCGTATCTCAGAATCAATTTCATTTGTTAAATCTGACCGCGAAGTCACAGAAACATTACAGAAAGCCATAGTCTGTGCAGTACAAGAGGCCAGTACCAAGGAGTTGGAAGTATTATTTCAAGACAAAGATAAAGAAAATCTTAAAGAATTAATTACACAGTCCGTCGGACTTGCGCGAATTCTAGGTCTGAGAGATGTGGCTGCAAATTTAATATCAGTGATTAATGACGAAGACAGCATGTCTAAAATAGCATCTGATCCCACAAGCCTAAACATTCTGAAGAGACTGACTGTCATGCGAAAACTAGCCGATAACACACCGAGCTTGCATTCTGCACTACATAAACTGGAAACTGATCCCTCACTGGCTCGCACAGATCCCAAACTAAGGGATTTAGTAAGAGAAAGTGCTGCGTTAATGATTGTTCCAGAAGAAACTCCATTAATGACTTCTGAAGACGTTCCATTGAATTTATTAGACCCAGAAAACAGCTTGGCAATGGAAGACTTTTTATTCCAAAGAAGAAAACAGAAAGGAGCTTTATTGATTATGAAAAAAGGTTTGCAAGCAGTGGTTCCCCGTGAAGCTAGTCGCGCCGTACTGACTGGAGAAGTTGCGTACACAGTTCTTGATGAAAATGGAATTCGACACTTTGAACCACTACACGTATTTTCAGCTTTAAACCTCAGTCAGCCAACAGCACATCGTTTCTCGATGTACAGCTGTCCTGTAGTTGATGATGACGATGAAGACCTGCAGTCATTCACCGGCTACTGCAACATCAGCAACAATCAGAAGATCACTAGATTGGGCGGCTGGTCGCGTAGATACAGCGGTGTCTTGTTAGACAGAGAGAACACCAGGAGTCGAATGAGTAGCTTGGAGACGACGCCAAGTTACAAACGATACCCGTCACGTTCAATGTCCAGTTCTAGATCTAGGTCTAGTTGTAGTAGGAGCCCGCCTAAGGTAACATTTTCGTCATATGTACCGCGTAAACGCCCATCGCAATTCCAAGGACGAAATAAACAATTTATTTCATTTTGTTACAGGTAGAAGACGTTGTGGTTGCATCCGCTGACTACTCAGCTGTTGCAGACGACGAAGTGTCTCTGAAGGCCGGCGACATCGTAGAGGTTCTCGACACCAAGTCAGCCCTCGGATCAAAGTGAGTACATATTTATTATTGGCATGAGCTTTGCACAACTGTGCCCTCATTGATGTATTTCGTAAATAAACTGTACAGACATGCCCGCCATGTGAGACTGGTCGTTACTCCAACTCTAAACTCGGTTACCAAAACAATATTTAGTTATATAGCTTTATCATACACCAATTTATTAATAACAGTCATCCAGGTTGAAATATAGCCGAGCGACTTAACCTTACAAAATCCGGTCATGTGTAACTAATGCAGTAAATAATTCAATGTTGTTACAGTTTTCTTAATGTTCAATTTATAATTCCGATCATCGTAATATACTTATTATACCCCCATTTTAATAATAGATAAATAACAGTGCTATGGTGTCTGACTGGAGTTCATAACCGATCTGTAAATAATTGCATTACGACAAGTAACTAGTCCACGCCACAGTGAGCAGCTGCCTCCCGCAGCTCTGCCCCACACACACATGTGTAACTCGATACTCGCTAACTCCACACGCAGCACATCACAGCCCACTGACACCTCCAAGTGGCAGTATCACATTCGCCCGCGGGAATGTGTTGCGGAAGGAGTATAAATGTCAAGAATGCATTTTAATAGCTCCGATGCGTCCAGCATTCCTGTTGCGACTACGATACTGTATAATTTTAGCGGCGAGTTCGTTGCACCGCCGTTTGCGCAACACACTATAATATATCTTAATTTACACGTTTGTTTTTTCCATCTCACGTGTGAACACATTAATCTCCATTATCATTTCGCCGCCTTTGAATAACGACTACTGGAATCTGGAATTAATCGGAGGGACAGCTTCTTGCATCGCGCAATTTGGGTTACTGATCATGCCCCGATATTTCAGGAACTAATCGGCCTTGTGGGCCGTTTCATTCACTACATGATTAAAAATTAAAAATGATGCATTTAGCTGACTTGTCTCTAACGTTTCAAACCAAAACTATGGTAATACAATCATCACATAAACTAATCAATACCACAACAATAATAAACCATCGCTGAACAATCATCACCCACCGCTGATGACGTAATAAATGTAGCCATTGTTGATGCAGGTACAGAGGCCGCGTATATTGTTACGAGAATCATTTCTTCAAAACCAGAGGTCCATCCTTGGACTATGTGTTTAGCGTTCCGACCTACAAAATGTACTATCATTGATATCGAAGACAGAAGATCGGATCATGTTGCATTGTATATACCTACGCTTGCACATCATGTATGTTGTATTTGTCATTTATATGTTGTGATCGACATATTACTGTATTGTGATAATCTTGTATCATTACGCCGATGTGGCTTGACACATTCATTTGTTATATGTTTAAACGTTTGTGTATCATTTAGGAAGTTATGTAATAAAGGAAATAAAGTTCTCGGAGTTTCTTTTCAATGCAGAATGGGTTAGGGAGGCGAGTATACAGTTTCATAATGTAAATAAAATTCCAATAGCATCTCTTATTTAGTTCGCTGGGAACTAAATCAACATTGCACACGACTATACGCCCACACGAATTATCGGACATCATTCTAGAATTTAATTTTATGATTTGAATTTATTATGAAGCTCGCTTGATGGTAAATGGTTGTCCTATTTAAATTAAGCAAGTCAAATCTATTTAGCAATTAAATAGCTGTAGTTAATAATCTGTGCACATATGAATCTAAGATTTACTTGAATTTTAGCTATCACATTAAAATTAGTGATTTTGTGGATGAATAGAATTAAATGTTGTACCTTTTAAGTTTTAGTTGATACTTAAATATAGGCAGTTATAAAATATGATTATTAAGAGTAAGATATTGAAATCTTGTGATAGAATGTGAAATAAATGTTAGTATATATAGATGATGTTATTTTTATAGTTATTGTGGAAACACACGTAAGCGCCGTGTTCTTGTTCCCCGGCTAATATTTATGAGTGACTTTTATGAGTAATATAGACTTTTTTCTTAAGAAAAAGAGCTCTGAGTCAGAGATATCATTTTGAACGAAATACATAATATTATTTCCAACTATTTATCCTTTTGTATTTTAATAGTGTATAACTAACGAAACATATGTTATTGAGATAGGTGTGCTTATATCATAGTTATTAAAACGTAAAAGTAAATTAATGTAGGTCAGCAACCTTCTTATAAATTTAATACCAGCACCATGAATTTATTAGTAGCACTCTATAAATATCAGATATCCATAAACCCTATAATATCAACAAATCTATAAAACTTTAAGTATCATTTCTTTCTCGGAACTCGAAGTATCTGGAAATTCCAGCAGTGGCAATAAACTGCTGGACGTGGAACATTTAAGAGGGTATTTGTAAAGTAGTTGGAAAATTCCCGGACAAAGTCGCAGGTCAGGCTGTAGGGGGAAGTTGGCGGTTCTGGCGGATTGCCAGTCCCGTCCAGGTAGCATATTGGCAATAGCACTTACATTTAGTCTCATATCAAATAGTACGTACTTCCAACGCCACTGTAATGGACTGTCTGACGCTTCTATTGCTCTTAAAGTGTATGTGCAAATTAATTCACTCGGCTCACACATTTCGCAATGTTTAAATAAGTCACGTGCAACGACTTTGTAAGAATTTCTGTCACAGTATGCTAAGGAAGATTTACCTACTTTGTTACAAAACATTATTATGTTTTATGAAACCGTTACAAATTTTTGAGTATGTATTTTAACTCACAGATGATACAATAGACTACCATTTCCCTCAATATAATTACTAAGATTACACTAGGTACTACTATTTTGAATAACTATACTAATATAGGAAAGAGAAAAATTCTTTCGATGTTCTTCTTTCGATATTCCTAAGTGCTATATAAAAGGCTATAAAACGTCACCCAACTAACCGAAGAACGGGTGAAGCCGCGCAGCAGTAGCTAGTAATTTATAATATTCAGGTGCGATGCACAACTCGCTATAGTCCTTTTCAGCTTTTTCACAATATTGTATGAATCAATCATAAAAATTTAAGCTATGTACAACTTTGCCATAAACACCTAATTTGCCAGATCGCTAGATCGACCCTGAATCTGCTATATAAATGACTCCTGAACTCCTAACTGGAACTGACCTTACACAACCGGATCAACCTAGCAAACGCCATGTCCTAGTTTACTTGCGTCAATAAACTTCCTCTGTACAAGGTTCCCCAGTGATTGAGTACCTACTAGTGTTATTTATAAGGATATTTCTGAAGCAATTTATACAAAAAGATGTAATGCTGCATAAAGAATAATAGGTAAGCCAGTGTTCATAGGCGCTCCATTATTTCTATCTACCTCAATGGAAGCTAATGTGTATGAAATGTATCATTACCTGTTGAATTTCACGATTCCAGTTTACTGAGATATTTTAGGAGATAGGTACAAAATTTATCAATTGTAGTATCAAAGTCTTTTATCTGCACAGTTTTCTAACTAGCAGTTTGCAGCATACATCCATTAGGAACATTATTTTAGTACCTAATAGCATATCCATGAGGAATAGAAACTGAAAACTCTACTGAAAATTATTGATCATATTCAAAGGTATGATTGTACCCTATGGAGATATAAAGGCAATAAGTACCGATGTACCTATACCGATACATATCATCGCAGTAAAACTAAAACAGTTTACATTATAATTATAATATTGCCCAAGCTTATTAAGGGGAGGTAGTTCCAACAATTACAAGCTAACCCCATTTCGAACCGTGTCGTATTGACGTCACGTCGTTTCTGGGCCAGACACAAATAACCACACACGCCAACTTAGGATGTACTGTGCCTTAAATGACGGCTGGAAACTTTGACGAACGAAATTAAAAGGAAAACGTGTCAGTTACCTTTTACCCAAAAAGAAAATTATAAAGAGATTTTGCCAGTCATGATGACTTACCTGAGGAGGAGTATGATAAAATAGTAGGAACACATTGACTTCACCAATTAGTAATGGAACGAAATCTTGTGATTTGTGCGTGATGCCTGTCTGAGTGTACGGTGCGATGACTTTATTAAACGTGGCCTACATTCAACGTTTTCCTGGCGAAGTTAGTACGTCAATTATTATTTATATACCTACCTAAACATATTTGATGACAATGTAACATCACTACATAGTAGAAAACAAAGTCGCTTACTCTGTCCCTATATCCCTATGTATGCTAAAATTTATAAAACGACGCAACCAATTTTGTTCCTTTTTTTATTAGATAGAGTGATGGAGGAGATAGGTTTATGTGTATAGTAACATCCATCAAATAGGGGAGAAATGAAGTATCAGCATTGCATCGTTGCGGACCCGAATCAGGTCAATAGTGGATAAATAAGAAAATTAAAAAAAAAGAATACACTTTTTGGACTTTTATAATAATTACTTAGTGCCTAGTTCTTTTACACTATATCTTTTTCTAGACAATTATGATTCATCTGTCACAAAATTCTTTTAAATCCATACAATGTAGTTATGAAATGCGGAATTTTCTATGAGAATCATGATAATTTGAAGTCTTACGTATTGGTTAAGATACCGTAGCTAATAAATAATACAACCAAAGAAAGAAGGAGAGGGTTCAGTATGAATGAAATTAAAAAAGACAAAATAAAATGTTGATGCCAGTGAAACCGAAAGTAGAAAGCCAGGGTTGCGGATCAAGTGCAATGAACCATGGCTTCGACCGACAACAGACGGAAAAGGGTAGTTTTAGCCCCATCCAGGGCGAGAGGAGGAATTAGTAAACTCCCCCCCCCCTCCTTAAAATTAAAGTAGAATCGTAAGTGATATAAAAACTAAGTATAACCCAAGGGCTTGAAGTAATAAGTAAAGAGCAAATTAAACGACACATAAATCACACAATCTATTGTTATTTAAGCAAAGAAATAACAGCTTTTTAGCCCCTTTTAGACAGAAATAAGTGACAACGCTGACATGAACATTACCTGTATAATTAGCTCAGTGATAGATTGCAGATGGTATATGACCTTGAGTGCCGATGTGAATAGGTAGCTACTAAGGTAAGGTCATTCAACCTTAGCGTCAATGATTTCCCAATCAAGTGCACTTTGCTCAACCTAGTTGATCCGCAGTAAACCTTGGTGTATTTATCTAGTTAGTAAAAAGATTCACCACATCAATCTAGACCAGACTATACAAAACATTTTAGCCACGTAGAATAGACCGCTGCAATTTCTTAAATTATAAAAAATGGACGCGCACTTCAAGTAGATACTTCTGCCAAGAAATGGGAAACCCAATCGTGTGCCTACTCTACGACAGATCACATGATGCAACCTGATCCAGTTCAGCCATGACAGTGAAGTGTCCCATCACGTCGAGTTTTGACGTCGTGTCGCTGCCACTAAACTCGAATTATTCAACACTAGTCTTTGAAACGAGACGACGACACGCCACAGCCTCGCCTGTCCGAACGAACATTATTTATTACAAAATACTGCCTGTATTGTTTGTCAAAAAGTTACCATAAATCATTATGTTTTATGTCTGGCCGTGGACGTTTCGAACCACCGTGTCAAAGCTCTCGCTAACCCTCGTTATTGACGCAAATCGAATTATAACCTCCATTTTATCGATATACACAGTATTGAGTAGCCATCAGTTCACTGATCACTTAATCGTTGAAAACAAAGAAGAAGGTCAGATTGTCTTAGGCACAACAACAGCGGAGGAGGTAAACGTCAAGCAAATAAAGCAAATTACACACAAATCGATGGTAACTATAGAATATTAAGGGCAGATTTTTCAACGGTTAGACAAAAGTTACCTGGCGAATAATTATGATGCTGTCGCTTCAGAATGTTTGTATAAGACAGTGACAGCTACAATTTTATTCCTCAGATAACATTTATCTGACTATTGAAAATCAACCCTAATTTAAGTATCTGGTAATATAAATATATTTAGTTTAACTAATCTCTACACAACATAAGAACGAGGTCCAGTCGTTTTACCTCTTCACATCATATCTTACAAAACTATAAATCGTCTATACAAACTCAGATATTTTCTTCAGTTACAGCTGAACGGTCCAGAGACCGTTTAAATATTTACTACTTGTTTACCTCAAGCTAATAAATAACATTTACGAATACCTACAAATACAAGGAATTTCCCTGAAAGTCTTCAACTCATTTGGCAAGCGTATCGAATTTTCCACAACAATAAATGTTTTGAAAGATTTTCCTTTTTTAATGGACGGATTAATGAGTCAGCTGATAGGATGCACACGGTACCCAGATGGGGGCGATTCTGAGTAACATGTACTTGAGATCTATAGTCACGGTACGCCTTAGTGCGAGTAGTCAGGCAAGATAGACTGATATTATAATATGGAAATAAAACAGGAAAATTTATAAAGAATTCGTCATGAAGTAAAATTGGTTATAGAGTTTACTACTTCTAAACGAGTATATCTATTGTTTAAAAAAAAAGATCTTACATCTTTATATAATCAGAAGTTTTACATAGATAGTTAGTAAAAGTTTTGTGTTATTTATGAATGCGCTAAAACCACTTAGGTATCAAAAGAAGTCTTCCTTGAAACCATTATTAACTAGCGACCATAAGATCAATCAAACGTTTAATTAATTTTAAAACCATTTACCATCACGAGCTAAGAAATACCGGACAGAAATAAAGATGTTACCATGGTCTACTAAACATACTATAAACACAATACTTTCAAACAGATTATAGTACTTTTTAACGTCAGATAACTTATACACACAAGTGCACCTCCAACAACAACACTTTATTCAGAAGAACAACAATACTATCTTCTTCAAACTTGTACCCCCTCATGAGTGTAGACTAACAACCATTTCATCCAATAACATGGTCCCTACCCGTCCAGGAAACCTCGGCTCGACCCTGAGCTGGACATCAAGGCCGAACTATTGGACACGTCCGCTGCCAAGCACAAGTTGGCTGTACGACCCAAGAAAAACCACCCCAGGAAAAAGACTGTGACCTCCAAGACTGATGACGAAGGAAGGTAAGAGGATACTCTAGATTAAGAGAAATTATATGTCCTAAAATATGTGCATATACTTAATAGGTACAATAGGACCAAAGCAGAAAATCATTGTTTACAGAAATTCCGGAAGAAATCGTATTTGGCACTGCTTAGTGATCGACTTTTTGAATATTGTATAAAAAACACACACTTTTCGCAAGTCATACATTTCGGAAAAGGTAGCTGAGCAGTGATTCGCGCATTCATAACATAACACGCGTTGTTACTATAATTAGTATAATCAAATCGATATACTGGACTTTTATATTTCAAATCTGCTACTTAAACTAGAACCTGGGCGTGTTCTGGTAGACGGAGCTGTCTACTGAACAATATAGCAACACGTTGTGACCGTGTTAACATCTGGGCGTGTGTTGTCTCAGTATATAACTCAGTACATAACGTCGGTCTGTTGGTCTGTTACATAACAATGATGTATTAGTGTGCGGTTAAAAGCTGGGCGACCTCATTACGTAGTCTTACGAAATATCGCGTGATTTGCGAAAACTCCCGCCTAGCGGTGACACGCGGTGTCACCTCGAATTTTTATTTAAATGTTAAATTGAATTTTGTTACAGTAAATTGCTTCAGATTCTTAATGATCTTATTATTTTTGTTAGGTAATTTCTGTATAATTTAGCATCTATACAAGCCCTGTATTTTACTTGAGTTGCCCTAGGTAACGTAACATAACTTGTAAGAAAATGATAAGGCATTTGTAATGAGCTTTTTTGTTAGGGGAAAATCCTCAAATGACTTCTCCCGCCCAGCCTGAGGTGAGAGGGAGTGTCGGACTCTTACTGACTTAAAATCCCCCCGTTCCTTCTCCTGCTCTAGGCAGTGGCCGCGGTGCCTCATTGCGCTTGAGCGCAGTCAACTATTTAGGTAAATCAACACGTTCATCATAAACGGATGAAAATAATAGTGGTACAAAAAAAAATCAAAGCGGTAGAAAGAAATACAGATATACTACCATCGTTTGTATGTAGGTAAGCATCGTCTAGCCGCCATTGACAGGCTAGTAATGGCTTCCTCTCCCAGCAGTTTGACATAAAAATATGAGAACACAAGTAACCACTCCGATATGTCGGTCAAGATCCGAGCGTGACCGACCATGCCCGATGCAGTTTTTAATAGTTCGTCCCCAATAACTAATGCTTTCGAATATAAAATTAAGATTCTAGCTTTGATCTTATTTATTTGATAGTCAACAAGTCTTGCTGATTATTAAAATATAAAAATTAATGTACTTGTCGCCTGTGCGATTTTAAATCAGATGTAGATTAGGTACATTTATAAATATATTCGCGTAGCTAACTGTTGCTTATAGACAACATCTCTTAGTTATTAATAAATTCTAATTAACACAGAGCGTAAGGCTAATGGACCAAATGTTCTCTTGAACTTTGACCTTTTTATCACCAGAAAAAAGTCTTTTTACGTCTCGATCTGTTTACCCTGTCTATTCCTAACTGCATTTGATAGACATGTTAGGTTTCAGATCCAATATTGTTGTTTGTTTCTATCGATCCCACCTACTGAGCTAGAACTAGTCTTTTCATCTACGTCTATGCTAGAGGAAAGTCAAATTTATAATTGCCATTGTTGCCATTGTTGTATACTTCTGAATTCTTTGAGCAGATGACGTTGGAAAGTGTATCTAAGTAATTTAGGCAAACCGGAACTGAAACTGAACTGACATCTGATAGCTGTAAGCTTTTTGACAAAAAATATTTTTAAATATATTACTAGACTAAAAGAAACTAGATGAAGAAAATACTGACTTTATAATAAAATAGTTTTAAGTATATTAATGGACCAAAAGAAACTATGTTAAGCTGACATTTCCTACTTGACTTGTCTAAGAAAAAATGCTGATGCTTACTGATGATTTGAAAAGCACGGTGCAGAACCTGTGGACAATCTAGTCCATTAAAGATGATGTAAAACATTTTCCTCTTCACTTCAATAAATGTAACTCCAACCATATGAATACCAGAGTGGAAACAACGACTGTCGCAACCGAGGGCCGGGCACGCTACCATAGCAGCGGTAAGACCCCTCTTTGAGGAGTGGCTTGAGAGACGCCACGGCGTCCTCACCTTCCGCCTGACGCAGGTGCTTACCGGGCACGGCAGCTTCGGTAGGTTCCTGTTTCGGATTCAGCGGGAGGAAACGCCCGAGTGTCGTCATTGTGAGGACCACCTAGAGGATACGGTGGAGCATACGGTAGCGGTATGCCCTGCCTGGGCTGAGCACCGCCGTATCCTCAGGGAAGTGATCGGCGGCGGCGACCTCTCGCGCCCGGCCTTAGTCGAGGCCATGGTGCGGAGTGAGAGGAACTGGGACGCCGTCTCCTCCTTTTGTGAAGCAGTCATGCTCGCAAAGAGAGAGGCGGCCCGCGTGAGGGAGCAATCCTCCTCCTCACGCCCCAGCAGCCGCAACTGGCGACACTACGGGCGTCGGGGATCGAGGGACGATCTCCGGCCACCATAAGTACGGGCCTGCGGTCGGCGAGTAAGGGCAGCTCGCCGCCCGACCAGAACCAGGCCCGAGCGTACGGCGCGTAGCGTTCCGCGCGCGCCTCAAAGAGCCAATAGACCACCACAGACGGGGCCCTAAAGGGCTGATGTTCAGCCGGGGTTGCGGGGTAAGCGCAATAAGGTACCGCGACCTCGGCACAGAGCAGGAGAAGGAACAGGGGGGTTTTTAGTCAGTAAGAGTCTGACACTCCCTCCTGCCCGGCCCTGGGCGGGAGAAGTCATTTGATGATTTTCCCCTCACAAAAAAAAAAAAAAAACCATATGAATACTTTTTTATGACGAGTATCGTAAGTCGTTTAAAACGTTGAAGTACCAACATAAAGATTTAAGACTTATGTTTCGTGTAACCGAATGTAATGTGGCCTGATGAAAACCAGACGGCCCGTCGCCCCATGCGATGCGTCGACCCGTCTCAATGGGTACCAAGACGATAAGTACTGAAGTTGATCTTCCAGGTAACTAAAGATATTCTTTTCTTATAAATACTGAATCTGCAATAAAAAACGAGGATGTGTATTGATATAAATGTAAACTGCTAAAAGGCTGTTTTAGTCTAGTAGAGCGAAGCATTCAATTTTTTTATTGATGTTAATTGTAGGTACAGCATTAGCTTATTTATCTAGACTAATCTTATAAAGAGGTAAATTTTGTAAATTATGAAGGGGGTCTTTGAAATCGGTCATTGAATTTCCAAAATCCGTTCGGAGATAATATTCTTGAGTGTTGTAAGCTATAAAGCACCACGCTACTCCATCTATAGGAGGCGAACAGCAAGTGAAACCGGGCGAAAGTAGCCGGTTTGATATAGATTTATGTGGTGCATTTGCCAGTCAGTCAATACTAGTACAAAGAAATAATAAAATCTATCCTAATATTATAAAGCTGAAGAATTTGTTTGAACGCGCTAATCTCAGGAACTACTGATTTGAATTGAAAAATCCTTTTTTGTTCAAAAGATCATTTATTGAGAAAGAGTTTAGGCTATAAAAAGTCATGCCACGACCTGTAGGATCCAAGCAGCGGGTAAAACTGGGTGAGAATATTTAGTATTTGATAAAAACTTATCACTAGTCTCTTAAGGAAAACCTAGTTCTGCAAACCAGCCAGGTTTGCTGTTATGCCTATGTTCATCTCAATTTAAACATGAGAATTTGATACAGTCTAGACGTCGGCGTCGGCGCCAGATCGTGAAAGCAGTGCCCAGGTGTGTTGGCGAGCCCTTGCACATGCAATCAACATGTGTCATTGACTGTGACTAATGTCATATGCTTAAGAACATTTTATTCGAATTCATTGCACACGTGTTACGCAGATTTTACATACCTACTTTGTACTTGCTTTTAAGAACATTGTTTTCGATTTCCAATTGTGCGCGCTTTTCCCAAAAGAGCGAGGGCCTATCGCCTATAGAGCAGAAGAAGGACCAGGGTGGTACTTAGTCAGTAGAACAGAACAGAAGGAATCTACGGTTTTTTCCCCTCACTAAAGTTGACAAGGTTCAGGTATCGTAGACTTGATTGTTGTTTGTTCTGAAAACTATTGTCTATTCAGAATTTAACTCATTTCACACGGATATTGCCTACTATAAAACCTTCAACCGTAACCTACCTTTGTAAAATTATAACAAATATAAACTGTTTATACGAGGTATTACATAAACGAATAACAGTTTTGTTATATTACAACACTTCACTGTACACATTTGGGTCAACACGTTTCCATCGGATTTAAATAAGGCAACTTTATTTGTATCGACTTCTCATACTTTTATAGTAATGTCTATATTATCGTGATGACTTGGCTGGCTGCCATCATCAGCTTCCCACTTCAGAACATTTGCCCAATTTTGTTCAATGCGATGTAATTCGCGGCCGTTACGATTACTGGGGACCAAACATACGGAAAGTTCAAAGCGAAACCTCTATATACTGACGATTTTATTTTGTCAAGTCTCAGTAACCGATGACATTGTTAGATACTAGATAAACCTACAACTGTGGTCGTTCGATAATAACTAGATCAAAACTGAATAAATTTCTTACGGTATACAACAGTTTGTTATAATTATATATAACCACCAAAGAAATCGAACAAATCGTGTCAATAACCTCTTCCTTGAACCTCTATCATAGAAGTATTCGTCCATCAAAACAGCGACTATAACAATAGACAGACCCAGTTTACAAACGAATGGATCATAAATAACTAGAGCACGTAAATCTTTAAACAAATTTACGAAATGCATTTTTATATTGCATAAATAATCTCATTACTTTATGTCTGGTCAACGTCCTCCGCGCGGCGAAAAACTTCGCAGCTACATAATCATTTCGCGGACCCGTGTGCTTCGCCAGTTTCAGGCGACCTGCCAACTTGTGTGAAACCTCTTCGCACACTTCATTGTTGTAAAACTTCAAAGGAGAAGGTAGGGGTCGT